ATCACAGGTCATAGCATCCTTTAATTTATGAAGAGACAAAACATTTAACTTTTATTCTATATTTTAAAGTTTATGATTTTTTTATTGTTTGAATTAGTAGATTGTACTTTACTGTCTGTATTAGTTGTAAACAACAGTGTCATTTTTCCCACAGAAAAATAAGATATATGAATTGCTAAGTCTAACACCAGGCTAGGGGGAATTGCTAACACTAGGGAAGATGGGCTCAAGATCTCAAAGGATCTTAACAGCCTTGAACTCTGGTTTTTAACCACCATTGATTTCTAAGGCAACCCCTGGTTCTTCTTAAATGTCTGAGAATAAGCTTTCTATGGAATCCATGTTTATCTAGGAACACCTAGAATGAACATCATAAGAATCTGATAAAATAAGAAATAAATATTTTGATAAATTGGAAGATAGATTCTTGTAAATAATAATTTTTCAAGGAATAGTGAACAATTTGTACTCCCCCAATAGCTTTTTGTGGAACTCCGGTTCCTCTAAAAGCACTATTTTTCACCATTATGAGATGGAAATGCATGAATATATAATGTAAGTCCTAAAATCAGATTAAGTTAACTAAAAAACAAAAAATCATTTCCCCAAACCTGGGGACAAAATAATGCCCTCTGTCCCTTGTTTGTATTGCATTCTCATTCAATTTGGAGCAATCTATTATTTGTAAATCTCTGCAAATATTAAACGTCGGCTAAGGTTATCTGTCCTCAAAATGCTCATTCTTCTTTTACAGAGGACAATTACAATGTTGAAAATGAAGTTGCCCAGAATAAAACTGCAATCTTCATATAAAGAAAAAATCATGGAAACAGACAATACCATATAAAGTTGATAATAAATAATTGAAAATGTAACTTATGGAAGCACTGTGATAAATTTTTATCTCACAGTTTAACCTATTGCGAGTATAAAAATACTTACAATGTGGGGGGGGGGTCTGGTCTATTTAACAACTAACTATAAATACAGTATTTGAAAGAGAACTGTGGTAACTACATAATTTGAAAATGGAGTTTTCTACTAATGTGTATCTATTCTCTTCACAGGCTGAATTCTTCAAATGAAACTTCTTGGTATTCTGGCAGAGTAATTTTTTGCCTGGATTACATTATTTTTACTCTAAGATTAATCCATATTTTCACAGTAAGCAGAAATCTTGGCCCCAAGATAATTATGCTTCAGAGGATGGTAAGGCATATGTTTGATTCAAGATGAGGTCTTTGTGTGTAACTCAAACAAATTCAATATGTTTAAGGAACAATTAAATCCTGCAGGCCTTTAGAAACATAGTTAAATTTCAGTCCTTTTCCCAAGCATATACTGTATATATGTAGCATTTGATGCTGGTTAAACCATTTAAAAAATCCTTTCTCAGCTGTGCCTCAAACTTGGGTCTTCTACCAGAGGTTTAGGATTTGGAAGGTTCTACACAGTATCCTAGCTGTTCCTACCTAGCACTGCATCCTTTGGACAGAGTTCTGATGTTGTTCCTGGGATTTGTTGGAGCTACTCTCCCATTTTAGGAATCACAGTCGCAAATGCTCCTATTGGGGCCACTTTGGCCTTTACTTTCCACATCTCTCCAGTCCCTTCTTCAGGCCCTGGAACTTCTTCAACTTTTCATACTCCTTCTTTCTTTTTTTATTAAAAGTTTTTTTTTCAAAACAGACGCAACACAAAAAATCCTCTTTCTTTACATACTGTAGAAANGGGTGCAGTACTGCAGCCACTTCAGCTGACTGCTAGTTCTGCAGTTCGGCAGTTCAAATCTCACCGGCTCAGGGTTGACTCAGCCTTCCATCCTTCCAAGGTGGGTAAAATGAGGAGCCAGATTGTGTGGGCAATATGCTGACTCTGTAAACTGCTTAGAGAGGGCTGAAAGCCCTATGAAGTGGTATATAAGTCTAACTGCTATTGCTATTGCTAACACAAGTGACATTGAGCTGGCCATGCCCACCTTGGCCACGCCCAACACAGCCCCTCGAGGTCAAACATAACCCTGATGCAGCCCTCAAGGAAATCAAGTTTGACACCCCTAACCTAGATGGAGGGGGAGGGAAAGACAGGGAAGATAGAGAATGCTTTCTCTTTTGTTTGAAAGTGTATGCGTGTGGCCCACCAACTGAGTCAAGTTAGGCATTTCCTGAATCTTTGGCACGTTGTGCTCTAAATGGTTCCCATCACTGGGCTAGAAACCAGGAGACTGTGAGTTCTAGTGCTCCTTTGGGCATAAGGCAGTTGAGTGACTTTGGGCTACTACCTGTCTTTCAGCCCTAGGAAGAAGATGATCCTTCTAGAAATCTTTCTAAGAAAACTGCAGGGAATTATCCAGGCCATCACCTAGAGTCAAGAATACCCCAAGGCATTATAATAATTACCTTTCTCAACAGAAGACAAGGCAAGAAACAATGGATGGAAATCCATAATCAAGGAGAGTAACAACCTAGAACTAAGGTGGAATTTCCTAACAGTGAAAACAATCAATCAGTGGAACAGCTTGCATTCAGAAATTGTAGATATGCCATCACTAGAGGCTTTTAAGGAGAGACTGCACTTGTCTGGAATGGTTTAGGATTTCCTGCTTGAGCAGTGGGTTGGACTAGAAGACCTCCAAGGTTTCTTCCAACTCTGTTATTCTGTTCTCTTCTGTTCCTCTCCCAAACCTAGGGTTTCTGGAGTGAAATGCTGCCATTGGAGTCAGATGGGGACTTTGGGGTCCAATATAATAATGACCAGAAATATTTGCACAAGGGTAAGATACTACTTGGCTTAAATATATTTCTTTTCCTATCCAGACCAAGAATATAAAGCCTATATATCCCTTTAAGCATCACCGTAGTTCTCCAAAAGCTTGTCCAACTGAAGTTTCTATTTTACAGTTTTTTAAACTTTCAGCACTTTTCTTAATTTACAAATGATAAAACCATGAGATCTTGGTCTCTTTGTTACCTTTACCGCGGGAGCCTAGAATGGTCCTGTCAATTTCTATTTCCATCCGACCCTACTTTGGTCCGATTCCTGTCTTTGCAAATGCACAGATCTGTCCTTCTTGGCTCTTCCTCCACCGCCTGTAAATTTCTCCCCCTCGTCCTCTTTAAATTGCTTCCGTGGCATTTTTAAGTTCCGCGACAAAACCAATATATGTAATGAATCAGCACAGATATTAGGGTAATCTCTCTTAACAACAGATATCCGTGATTACAGGAATTACAACCAACCAAATATTGTAACTACAAGCATTAATTGACAAGATATGAGCGATCCAGATTTTTTTTTTCCCCTCTGCAAATATGTACGGGGTTATGCAGGAAAGAATTGAAAGGCTGTCTTAATGTAAGTCCAAGCGCTTTGGCAGCTTCTGCGCTTTGGACAGAGGTGTGGAAGAAACTTCAGAGAGTAGATAGTGTGCAAGAAAGCAGTTCTCCAATAGTTTCTTATTCGGATGCCATAGCTGGGAGTCCTATGTAGTCTCCACTGTACCCCTTAAGCTAGCCTTCAGCTGTCAAGGATGAAAAAAGACCCTTACCCATTGCCACCGTCGAAGTGAGATTTAACTGCCAGTCCACTCTATTTCTGTAATTGAAATGGAGAGAGGTGCCATCTCATCTGTCTTGGGCAACAGAAATGATAACGCCTGAGAAGTCCCTGCCTTCTTTCATGATAAGGTTTCACTCTCTCCTCAGTTACCCGGCAGGGAAAATTCAACAAGGGTGGCATTTCCCTGCCCCCACCCCCTTTCAATTTATCCTGTCTAAGAAAAAGAAGGCCTGTATAATTCCATTGGCCGGTAAGAGATTAAAGCTTTGATGTACAGGCAAGCAACAGCTGAATGATGGAAGGTAGGTGTGTCTTCATGGCCATCACCACCAAGGGTGCTCCAGCTTGAATTCAAAACTGGGGATGAGCAGAGACGAAAAAATGGAATGGATTTGCTCTGGATTTAGAAGTTCTTCTAAATCTGGTCTCCCCAAACTGTCCCTTCCCCTAACAGCCTGGCATAAAAGGGGGTAACATATCCCTGTTTTGCATTTGTTGGGGTTCCAGGCCATTGTTCTGACCTAGGCTTCCTGAGAGGGCATAAATCCCAAAGGGCATTTGGGACACATTAGTCCCAAATGCCCTCTTTTATTTAGACAGCTGTGAATTATGGTCATTCGCAGCCCATAATGATTCACAAGCAGTCTGTGAAGATTCCGACAGATGTCTGCTCGAGTTGCCACAGTCTTTCAGGGTAATGTTGATAATCACCCACCTTTGTCTCCCTTGAAACGCTGCCAGAGACCAAATTGCCAATTAGTTTTGCAAGGCCAAACGTAACACAGAGTCAAACAGGAGTTCTCAGAGCTTGAACTGACTAGATGAACTAATTGCTTCCTGCAAAGGCACATGCCTGTTTGCTCCTCTTTTATGTCTTATGGGAAGGGCCAATCATTTCCAAGCCTTACTCCTGAGTCGCTCTTTCTTTCTTAATTGTTTTTGCCTTCTGGCAGCTCGGCACATGCACACACTGGGAACAGGCTCACACTGTTCTTCTGCCTCGCTGATGTCAGACTCCAGAGGCTCCGGAGGCAGCACATAACTCNTAACCTTTTTCTTAAAATTTTATTTCTGTAAGCCGCCCGGAGTCCTTCGGGATTGGGCGGCCTATAAATTTAATAAATAGAAATAGAAATAGAAACCATCTGGAACTTTTGGGCTACCCCCATCTAGCTGCAGCTTCAACCCAGGGAGTTCTGAGTTTGTGCAATGCCCTGAATTATACGCCAACCACCTTGCAGAATGGTTAAGCCCCAACCATGAGGTCAACCAAGATGACAGTTAATGAAGCTCAGCGCAGGGTGCAAATCCAACCGCTGCACCTAATCGTACCGTCTACGACTCCTTGTACCTACGATTAATTCCCACTGCCCATCAAATGAGCATGAGCACCAGGAAAGGTGGCTCGCGTGCAGCACCAAGGACTCTGTGGTTGCTACGGTTCAATAAGAGTACCTACAGCTCTCCAGCTGCATGGTGCATGTCTGAATGTCCATGGGGAAGTTCTTGAGATCCATTGGGCAGGAGAGGATGAGAGTCAGCCTAGGGGGAAGAGAAAAGAACAGAGTCAAACAGGACACGCTGAGCCGTATTTTCTGGGTAGTTAGGCTGGGCAAGATGGGGTTGAAGCCTAATACCTAATGCTATATAGCACTCCCCCGTTTCTGAAAATCCGCAGAAGCTTGTTGTCCGTAGTGACTTCATGGAAGTTGGCTCCCTTCTCGTTGGCAAAGAACAGGTCTGGCTTCCAGATGGAGTCCAGCATGGAGGGGTCCAGGTCAAGAGAGTCGTCGGGGTATTCCCAATAAGTTAAGCGGGGGTCATTCCAGTGCTGTCGCAGAAAAACATTGACCCGATAATCCTGGAAGAGCCCAAGAGAAGCCGTCATGGGGGGAGCCAAGGCCAGCCTGTTGGCAGCTAGGACAAGAACTGCAGCAAAGAAGGGGTGCTTGGTGGAGGGGGCAGAGAGGGGCTTGGAAGGGGCTGTTGCAAGTTAGCAGAAGTGGGCCCAGCCAGCCCAAGGCTACTCGTTGGCTCTCCCGTCGCTCTTGCTCCTCCGGCCCTCGCTTGCACCCCTGGTCTCCAACTGCTACCCTGAAAACGGTCCTCCGAGTAATGCTAGAGGAACCAGGGAGAGCTGGCGCCTGTCAACTGGGCCCCTCCCAAGCCTGCGGCTTCTACAGGCCAAAGGTGCTGCAGTGGTTTGGCTGGGTTCGGAGAGAAGGCTGAGAAGGGCGGGAGAAGCCTTACCATGGTTGTTTCTGTGACGGACCCAAAGCTGTTGATGAAGATGTTGCACGTCACATTGACGGGTGGGCCTGGGAAGACATTAAAAGAGGACTCACGGCTGGCATGTCACAAAGCTATAGCAATAGCAGTAAGACTTATATACCGCTTCATAGGGCTTTCAGCCCTCTCTAAGCGGTTTACAGAGTCAGCATAT